CAAGTCTTTTTTTTTTTTTTTTTTTGAGACAGAGTTTCACCCTTTCACCCAGGCTGGAGTACAGTAGTACAATCTCAGCTCACCGAAGCCTCCACCTCCCAGGTTCAAGTGATTCTCCTGCCTCAGCATCCTTAGTAGCTGGGATTACAGGTGCCTGCCACCACACTCAGCTAATTTTTGTACTTTTAGTAGAGATGGGGTTTCACCATGTTGCCCAGGCTGGTCTCGAACTCCTGACCTCAGGTGATCCACCTGCCTTGGCCTCCCAAAGTGCTAGGATTATAGGCCTGAGCCACCCCACCTGGCCCCTTTCAAGTCTTTGAGGGTGGCACTAGTCTCTGCAATTCTGCGGGGATGTGATAATGTTTCTGATTAACTTTTTTTTTTTTTTTTTTTGAGACGGAGTCTCACTCTGTCGCCCAGACTGGAGTGCAGTGGTGCGATCTCTGCTCACTGCCAGCTCCGCCTCCCTGGTTCACACCATTCACCTGCCTCAGCCTCCCGAGTAGCTGGGACTACAGGCGCCGCCACCACGACCGGCTAATTTTTTGTATTTTTAGTAGAGATGGGGTTTCACCGTGTTCGCCAGGATGGTCTCGAACTCCTGACCTCATGGTCCACCCGCCTTGGCCTCCCAAAGTGCTGGGATTACAGGCGTGAGCCACCACGCCCCGCCCTGTGAAGGCCCAAGTTTTTAAAAACAGTTTTGGAGACTCCCGTGTGTGGTATCCACGGGCAGGGCTGCTGTCAACCACCTGCCTCCATCTTTGCTGGACCTGCTGCCTGAGGCCGGCAGCCCACCCCATCCCGTCCCAGCAGCCACCTGCCCCGACCGGACCTCCTGGTACAGATCTGTGGGCTGCAGAGTCAGGGCCCCTTGCTGCTGCAGGACTGCAGGGACAGGGAGGGGCCTGCTGTTTCAGCAAGCCTTTGGGGTGCAGCCGGCCTGTGGCCCACAGGGAAATGAGACCTGTGGACATCTGGGGCCCTGCCAGACGTGACTCGGCTGGGTGAGGGTGGTCACTGCAGGCGCAGGCCTGGCTCCCTACTGGACCCAGCTTTTCCTCTGTCCTGTGTGCCTGGACCTCCGTGACTCCCCAGCTGGGCCTGTGGTGTTTGGGAGGCTCCCAGGCGGCTGCAAAGGGGACCCCTGTGAGGAACAGGGAGGCCTCGGTCCCAAGACAGGTGTGTGCTGCCCGCAGGTACTTCTGTCAGCTGATTGACGGCCTGGAGTACCTGCACAGCCAGGGCATCGTGCACAAGGACATCAAGCCCGGGAACCTGCTGCTCACCACCGGGGGCACCCTCAAAATTTCCGACCTGGGCGTGGCCGAGGTAGGCACGTGCTAGGGGGGGCCCTGGGGCGCCCCCTCCCGGGCACTCCCTGAGGGCTGCACGGCACTGCCACAGGCACTGCACCCGTTTGCGGCGGATGACACCTGCCGGACCAGCCAGGGCTCCCCGGCTTTCCAGCCACCCGAGATTGCCAACGGCCTGGACACCTTCTCCGGCTTCAAGGTGGACATCTGGTCAGCTGGGGTCACCCTGTAAGTGCCCCGGCCCCGCCCCGGCACTCGCCACACGCACAGCCCAGAGGGGCCTCTGCATCTTGGGCAGCTTCTGGCCTGTGGGTGCAGGGTGTAGCCACCAGCCTAGACCCTCGCTGGCCACAGCCACTGGGGGTGCTTACTTGATGGAGACGTAGCTCACACGGCAGATGGTGGTTCACCCATGTGACATGCAGCCTAGCCTGTCAGCGATCTTCACAGAGTGTCACAACCAATCCTCCTCTCAGAGCCCCACAGGGAAGATGGGCGGGTGAGAGTGGCTCCAGGCCCCTTCCCCGGGTGGGTCCAGAGGACGCTCCTCTCTTGCCCCATGGCCTCCACTAGTGGGAGGCGGTGAAGACAGAGGTGTCCTTGAGTCCGCAGAGCCTGTGGTCCAGCAGCCACGCGAGGGCTCCGTCCCTGGGGCAGAGGTGGGGCTCCCGGGGCGTCGACCACCTTGACTGACCACACCTTTCTTCCCTCCCCTCGAATGAAGCTACAACATCACCACGGGTCTGTACCCCTTTGAAGGGGACAACATCTACAAGCTGTTTGAGAACATTGGGAAGGGGAGCTACGCCATCCCGGGTGACTGTGGCCCCCCGCTCTCCGACCTGCTGAAAGGTGGGGGCCTCGTCCCTCTGCCCACAGCCCCAGGGAGGCGGGGCTTTTGTGCAGAAATGCAAGGTGGGGGTGTTAGGTGGGGGGCTATTGGCCGTGAGACCCCTGCAGGCACTGAGAGGACTGAGCGGAGAGGCCGGCCTCCCACTAGGGCCTGGTTTGCGGGTCCTGAGCTCCACCCTGCTTCTGGGCCCTGTTCACCTTTCAACTCCCACCCCTGAGGGCAGTGCTGCCCTGCGCCTCCCCCAGCCCCGCCCTCGGGGGCTCCCTGGCCTGTGTCAGGCTCGTCCTGCTGCACTTCCTGTGTGTGGGCAGCAGGTGGCACTGGCCGTCTGTCCGTCTGCCCAGTGGCCTTGGGAGAATGGAACCGCCCTGGCTGTCCAGCCCAGCCCTGTCTCCCAGGCAGGCACGCAGAGGCTGTCCCTGGCCTGTCCCCTGGAGTGGCCTCTGTCAGGGAGGCCATCTATGCAAGGGGGCCCCCCTTGGGAGCATCCAGGTATCACGTGGGGCCTGACAACAGAGGCTGGTCAGGTGGGGATGATTGGTGGGGTCTCAGGCCTGTGCCCGGCTGACTGGCTCCTCGCCGGCTTCTCCTCAGGGATGCTTGAGTACGAGCCGGCCAAGAGGTTCTCCATCCGGCAGATCCGGCAGCACAGGTGAGCGGCCCCTGGGGGCAGTGGGGCCAAGACCACAGGGAGGCTGGCCACGTGTGCAGCTGGTTGAGTGGGCGCCAGAGCAGGGCATGGTGGGGGTGCTGGGCTGGGGCCAGACCCCGTGCAGCGCCCGCAGTTCTCAGGGCCCAAGTGGGGTCTCTGGGCAGTGCCCTGTTAGTGGCCAGACAGGCCTTGTCTGAGCTGGGGTCTGAGTGAGGACGTGCATCCGTCTCTGCCCTAGGCATAGAGACACACCGGGAAAGGCACAGCTGGCCCCGAACGCTGGCGAGAGCCCCTCTTTTTACCCTCCTCCTGGGGCTCCCAGCAGCATGGTCTGGTTGGGATCCAGCTAAGGGCACCCAGCTCTGTGACAGGGAAGACAGCAGGCCCCGCAGTGCGACCTCCCTCGCCTCGTGGGCTCTGCTCCTCTGCACCAGCCCCTGGGGTTGCTCGAGCCCCGAGGCCCCCCAGAGACCGGCTCTGGGAGTGGGAGTGTCCGGACCCCTGAGGCGCTGGTGCCGATCGTCCCTTGGGGATCTCTGCGTAGCTCAGGGGCAGCTGGGAGCCGGGCGGGTGCTGGGGCTGCCCCCATAGCCTCCTGGGTTAGGATGTATTCATGGCCCCCCAGGCCCCCTTCTGGCCTTTGCTGACATGCGTCTGGTGGGTGCTGGCTTCTGAGTGCCACCTGGGAGACAGGCCTGAGGCTGGGCGTGGCGGGGGGTCAGGCCTCAGGGTGGAGGGGACATCTGTCAGGCTTGGAGTGAGGTCAGGGCTACAGACTGAGGTCCTGGCAGCCTGCCTGCTCCGGGAGGGCATGGCTGAGCGTCTGTGGTCACAGCCACCCGGTGCGCGGCCTGGTTCCGGCTCCTGAGCGTGCAGCAGGTACTCTGAGCACAGAGGAGCCAGGTTGGGCAGCTGCACCGTCCTGGTGCGAGCCTGACAGGCACCACTGCTTCTGGGTGTTTGCAGCTGGTTCCGGAAGAAACACCCTCCGGCCGAGGCGCCGGTGCCCATCCCGCCGAGCCCGGACACCAAGGACCGGTGGCGCAGCATGACTGTGGTGCCGTACTTGGAGGACCTGCACGGCGCGGACGAGGATGAGGACCTCTTTGACATCGAGGACGACATCATCTACACTCAGGACTTCACGGTGCCCGGTGAGTCTGGTGGGGGCCCCTGCCCAGCTCTGCTAACTCGGCCGTGACGTCCCACAGGAGCAGGGCGCCTGCCTGTCTGCAGTGAGGACAGCTTCTGCCCTCTGGTGGCCAATCCCACGTCCCCGAAGCCTCCAGCCCACCTGCAGGCCGCCTCCGCCCTGGGGGCAGCTGGGACATGGCTGAAAGGCGTGGGGGCAGCGGGGGCACTGGCCAAGGCCTGTCTGGCCAGGAGGGTTCCCCAGGCGTCTCTCCGGGTGCTGCCTAGCCAGGCACCGCCCACCGGCCTTGGCCTGAGCCCCAGCAGGAGCAGGCGGGGAGCCCCAGGGTCGGGGGAGGGCAGGTGAGAGTCAAAGTGCAGGGTGGCCCCTCAGACAGCCGGCATGCGAGGGTCCAGTGGCCCTCCCTCCCACCATCCCTGAGGCCTGCCTGCTGGCCCTGATGCCGGCCGCCCTTCTTCCCCAGGTGTCGAGGAGGCGTCTGAGGCAGGGCTTAGAGCGGATCACGGCTCACAGAAGAGCGAGGGCTCAGACCTTTCAGGAGAGGAAGCCTCGCGGCCGGTGCCGCAGTAGTGCCGGAGGAGGAGCTCAGGGCCTTAGCATAGGGGCGGCCCGCACTGGCAGCCAGCCCCTCCCCGCCACGCTGCGGCTTGCCTCTGTTCCGCCTGGGGCTGGGCTGTGTCATAAAGCGTTGTGCAGTGTATCTGCAGATGGATGCTTGCTGTGCTCGGGCTGGAGCATGGCAGGGGCTTTCTGTTTCACTGTGTCAGCATGAAGTGGTGGGCCGGGGCCAGCCTGAGAAGGGGGGTACGCCAGGCAGGTTGGGATGTGAAGATCCAGGGGACAAGGACCACCCCCGGGCCCGAGGGTCCCAGAATAGTGGGGGCCCTGCAGAGAGCCTCATCCCTCAGCACCCCCGGGCCCCTCAGCAAACCTCTAGGCTCAGCTCAGTAGCTGGTCCCCAGGAGGGTACCGTGTGAGGACCCCGGGAGAGCACAGTGGGGGCTCCCCTGGAGGGCACAGTGTGGGGCCCCCGGGAGGGTACAGTGTGGGGGCTCCCCAAGAGGATGCAGCATGTGGGGGCCCCCCAGGAGGGTACAGTGTGTGGGGGCCCCCAGGGTCAAAGGGTCTCGCCTCCTGGGCTCTTGCATTTGTGGCACCGTGGCCGTCGCGTCTGTTGGGACGGGAGGTGCTGCTGGGCACCCTGGTCACTGGGGTGTGCTGGGAGGTGGGGTCCCCTCATGGCGCCCATCCTTGGGGCCTGGCTGCAATTTGACCCCAGGTCCAGGGCCTTCTGCCTTTCAGAGCTCTGGGGCCCCGAGACGGGCAGTCAGGCAAATCCCAGGCAGGAGGGCCAATTAGGGCAGGGCCAGCCCAGGCAGGCCACCAGAGCCCTTGCTGGGACGTGGACCACACGCTGACCCTCACGGCTGCCCCTGCAGGCCAGGATTCCTGAGCCAGGACCCGGCACTGGCTTCTCTCCAGGCCTGTGTGAGACTGCCCTGTGTGGGCTGCCCTGGGGTGAGGTGCCGGGGAGGAGGGCAGGGGCTGGGCCACCTTTTTCATGACCCTGCTGAGCCCACTGTGGGTGGTGGGAAGGAGTACCCAGCAGAGGGGGGTCCGCTGGGACCACTTGGCATGGCTGAGGCCTCGGTACTCGGTACTGGGTGCTCAGGTGCTGACGCCCTTTCCACTGCTCAGGCGCTGGGGACAGGCTCAACTTGAGGCTTCAGCGTGAGCCCCATCCCTGACCTGCAGAGCCCCCTTGCATCGGGGCAGGACAGCCCAGCGCCCTTGGGTCAGGGTGTCCTCCACACTCGGCCTGGGCTGCTGCATCGGCCCCTGCATGGCTCCACTTTGGCCTTGCCTGTCCCTACCCAGGATGGGGGTCCTGCTGCCAACACCCAGAACCAGGGAAGGGGCTTGGGGCAGGTCCTGGGCACCAGCGCGGACAGGCGTGTGGGGTGGGAGAGGGGACCGAGGGTCCCAGTGCCTCGTGGGGGCAGGGCCCTGGTGGCAGCTGTGCCACTGATGCAGAGCTGGGGCACCTTGTCTACCAGGTTGGCCCCATGGGAGTGGGCACAGGGTCTGCCCCAGCGGAGATGGGCTGGGTGTAAGACCTATGGGTGCCTTTGGTGCCTCCTGACCAAGGTGCTTTTTTTTTTTTTGGAGACAGTCTTGTTCTGTCGCCCAGGCTGGAGTGCAGTGGCACAATCTCGGCTCACTGCAACCTCCACCTCCCAGATTCAAGCAATTCTCCTGCCTCAGCCTCCTGAGTAGCTGGGATTACAGGTGCATACCACCATGCCCAGCTAATTTTTGTGTTTTTAGTAGAGACGGGGTTTTACCATGTTGGTCAGGCTGTTCTCAAACTCCTAACCTCGTGATCCACCTGCCTCGGCCTCCCGAAGTGCTGGGATGACAGGCGTGAGCCACCACGCCCGGCCCCAGGTGCCTTTTTAAAGCCAGTGACTTCCTGTGCACACCGTGGGAGGTATATGGCAAGTCCTGGAAGCTGCTGAGTCAGCCACCGGCCCCTTCTCGGAGCTGGGGCTCTGCACTGGGCACATGAGCTCTGGGGCAGCCCAGGGCAGCCTCCCACTGACATCGCCTGGGAGGGGCCTCGGGGGTGGCTCGGCAGCCAGTGTGTTGGCGGAGTCCTCACAGACCACCACAGCTCCTGGCAGGGACAGCACGTGGGCAGCTTCCTGCACTTCCCCCGCCATTATGAGGACATTGTCCACCTGGGCAGGGTGGGCAGCCCCAGGCCTGTGAGTTTCACAAGATGCTGGTGCTGGTTGGTGGCCGGCAGAGACTGGGGGCGGCTGGGGGCCCTGGCAAGCTGAGCTCTACTCCCCACGTGGTTCTGTGCTGGCATTTCGCATGCCTGGCCTGAGCCTGGCCCTCCTGTGTCCTCACAGGTGAGCGTGTGGTGGCTCGTGCACCTTTAGAACCAACCATGGGCCAGGGCACCCCAGGGGAGCACGGGAGGGTCCTGCCCTGTCCGCTTGCCGCCTACTCAGGAGGCCCCTGTAGACAGTACCTGGGTGGGGTCCCACCTGGGGCCGTGGCAGGTGCAGCAGACGGGGTGGAGGGGGCATTCCTCCCAGGCCATCTGTGGGAGGCTCATCCCCTGGGGGTGCCTCCCGGAGCTGCTGGGGGACAGCATTTCAGGCTGGAGAGACTTGGGCCTGACCCGGGGGTGGGCATGGCCTGGGCCACAGCTGTAAGTGTCTCCCTGTGCTGGGGGCCAGCCAGGTTCCTGCGGCTCTGGGGGTGTGGCCCTCAGCTCAGGCCACACTTGCCGTCTCCCTCCCAGGACAGGTCCCAGAAGAGGAGGCCAGTCAGAATGGACAGAGCCGGGGCCTCCCCAAGGCCGTGTGTATGAACGGCACGGAGGCGGCGCAGCTGAGCACCAAATCCAAGGCAGAGGGCAGGGCCCCCAACCCCGCCCGCAAGGCCTGCTCTGCCAGCAGCAAGATCCGCCGGCTGTCGGCCTGCAAGCAGCAGTGAGGGTGGCCACCTGCAGGTGGGGCACGGCGGGACCCGGGCGGGGCATGTGGGGACACTGCATGGATGCCACAGCCAGCCATGAGCATAGCTCACGCCAGTCATGGCGGCTGTCAAACGGCTGCGCATAGTTGCCATGTAGCCTTTGGGTAGCTTGGCCATGTAGCAGTCCCCACTGAGGGTGGTATCTCCGGGCCTGGTGTCTGGCTAGTGTACTGGTCACGGAGGCCTACGTATGGCAGGACTCTAGGGGGTGTCGTGCCATCCTCACAGCCATCTCTCAGAGTGGGTGCATTTAGAGGACCCTGCCCTGGGCCTGGCACCCCCTCCCCATGCGTGGGCTACTCCCAGGAAAGGCTCACGTTGGGCTCAGCCCAGAAGCTTTTGAGGCATGAGTGAGTGGTGGGTGGTGGGGAGGGGCGGCGACCTCCATGGCCCTGCTGGGCTGCCCCAGGCTCTGAGCCAGCTGCCAGGTCTGGCTGAGGCTGAGTCGTGCCAGACGCTGCCCTGTCTCTCCCTGTGTGCCTGCTCCCTCTCCCAGCCCCAGATGTCAGAGACCCTTGTCACCTGCTGAGGATGCGGGGTGGATGGGAGCCCGAGGCTGAACCCCCTGCCTTGCCACAGTCCCTCTCCCAGGTTTTGGGGGCCACTGCCTGAGTTACATGTCTGTCCCCCAAATGGGTGCTCACAGCCCATCCACCAGCGTCAGAGCCTGCCAGACCCTACTGCAAGAGGCTACACTTAATGTACCCGGGGAGTGACTCAAGGGTGGCCTTCCCTGGCCTCCCCTGCTGCCCCACTGGAGTGCGGTAGCCCGATGACTGCACCTCAGCTTCTCCATCCTCCCAGGAGCCCGAGGGAAGCGGAGAACCGGTACCCAGGCTGACCTCTTCCGTCCTCCCTCCCCCCTGCAGCCCGTGTCCAGGAGCCCCGCCAGGTGCCCGCGCCAGGCCCTCAGTCTTCCTG